TTTTTTTAAACTGATTCTTGTTAGTGAAAAAATCCCTCGGAATCAGTGCTGAGATTTTCCCTCCCAGGTGCTATAACGCCATTGCTGGTGGGGAGGGATGAGATGGAGGATGCTGGAGTTTGAGAATGGGGTGAAAGGAGGGGTGATTGAATTTGGGAAGGGGGATGCTGGAGTTTGAGAATGGGGTGAAATGAGGGATGATTGAATTTGGGAAGGGGGGTGCTGGAGTTTGAGAATGGGGTGAAATGGGGAATGCTGGAGTTTGGGAATGAGCTGAACTGGGGGATGTTTGAGTTTGGGAAAGGGAGTGGGAGTAGGGTTTTTGTTGTTGTTTTTGGTGTTCCTGGTGTTGCTGTTGAATGTTTTTCAGTCTGAGCAATCTGAGTTGCTGTTAACAGGAGTTGTTGTGGAATTCTGGAACGGTTTGGGATGGGAGGAGCTTTAACAGCAAAATTTGGGAAGGATAAATATAAACACACACAGCACTACACAGTGATAAAGTGAGGCTTTGCTTTATTCTGGCCAGGATGTGCCACGGAAAATATTCCATATACAGATGGCTCTTTGCTAGAGCCTGCAGATTTATACACACAAAACCCAAAGCAATTCCTGTTCATTGGTCCCAAATTTAATGCTGCATCATTTCCAACAATCCAGTCCCACCACTTGCCGTGGGCAGGGACATCTTCTACTTGATCAGGATGTTCCCAGGCACATCCAGCCTGGCTTTGGACACTCCCAGGGATCCAGGAGCAGCCACAGCTTCTCTGGGAACCTTTGCCAGGACCTCCCCACCCTGGCAAGGAAAGGATTTGTCCCAAAACCCCCTCTAACCTTTCCCTGTCAGTGGGAGCTCATTCCCCTTCTCCTCATTCCACAGCCATTCCCACCAAACCCACCAGAAGAACAGCTCATCTCATATTTTAAAATTTTTTGTTCTTTTTTTCTTCTCCTTATTTTCAGGGTTCCTTGAGCTCTGGATGGAAGCTCCAGTGGGTTTTGAGGTGCTGAGTGCACTGAGGATGAAACATCTGCCTCCAGTGTAATTTACCCGGCAGAGAAGAAGAATTTGGGTCTCAGAGGAGTCTTTTTCTTCCCTTGTTCAAGAAAACACCTTCAAAGTACAAATGGACAGCCAGTGTTACCCTGGTGGCTGCCAGGTGGTTCCAATTTGGAAGCTGGTGGCCGTGTGGCCATCAGAAAAGGAGGCAGAGGAGGACAACGTAATCCTGATCAGTGATGATGATGAAGATGAAGGGGACAGCACCCAAGGCAGTTCAGTCCTGTTTGTGGAGCCACAGGGTAAGAGCTGTTCCCTTGCTGCTGCTGGAGTTCCCTGAAAGATTTGGGGAATAAACTGAATTAATTCTGTGTTATGCTTGAAATCTGCCCTTGTGCTGCACAAGTGAATAAAACCAGGAGGAAATCCCCAGTTTTTTAGGGATATCTTTGATGGCACCACTTCAAAGGACGCTGCTGTGTAGCTTTAAAATACTTCAAATGGAGCTCAGACTGGGCCTTTTCAGCTGGGTCCTTTTTGATTTGGTTTGATAGTTCATGGAAGTTTTGTGTGCCATTCTGTCAGATCCCAAAAAAATGTGCTGCACAGTGTTCAAAACGTAAATCTCAGTAATTTCTAACGCTGCTTTACACCTCCTGCAGAGAAGTCTCCCCTGGAAGAGGAGAAATCAGAGGAGCTGGTGGATGAGGAGGGGGATTTGGTGGTCACCTACTGCAAACAGGCCAACGTGATGCCCCACGCCAGGCACGACTGCAGCACGCAGCCCTTTGAGTATGTGCAGGGCTGGGCTGTCCCCATTTCCCTCATTCCCCTCTGTAACAGCTGCAGGCAGCAGCACAGCTGGGTCAGGATGATTTTCATGATGAACCTTCTGCTTTTCAACCTTGCAGGAGGACTGAGAGTGACACTTGCTTCCCCCTTGGGAAAAACGGAGATATTTGTGAGCAGTGCTACTGCTACATCTGTGACAAACCGGCTGCTGAGGTAAGGGCAGGGCACAGGAGACAAAGCTGGATCAGATGGAGCTTTAGGCAAGCCCTGCCTTAGCTCAGGTTCTTGGCAGCAGCTCTGTGCCTAAACCACTCTGGCTCATGAGTTCTTAAGGTCAGGTCTGATATCAGATGAGTGATTTATTGAATAGGCAGGAGGGAGCAGGAAAAAGGGCTTTTAACAGTTATTTATTACACAGGATGGAGCAAAGCAGGTTACATAAAGCAATGCACAATAACAAGGTGTCTGTATCAAAGAAATAGGATAGATTAGGGCTCAGTAACTCTACACTCCCAGGAAAGAGTTAAGGCTTTAAAAGAATAATACAGGAAATTTGATTAACTATTAAAAGTGTGGTTCTGTTGGGGTTTATTTCTAGTCTGGATAATTGTTGGAGTAAACATGCATTTATTTATCCTGTTTGCTTTGGGCACACAGTGCATTTCATAAAATCAGATTACTAAATCAGACATTTTTTAATGAATTAGAGAAATGCCAGCTTTCTGTCCTCACTGGAGTTAGGAGTGGGAGGAATTGTGTGGGGGTGGGAGGAATTGAGTGGGTAATTGTGTTTATTTGCTTGGACCTTTTGTGAATTTCAGGGGACTTTGAGCCGTGGGCAAAGTTGGGGTGAGCATGCAAAGACAGGGCTCAGTTTCCAGTGGGGAGGGTGCCAGCCCTGAGGCTCTCTGGGAAGGGCTCAGCAATGACAGGTAATCACTGAGGGGCTTTTTTATAATGATTGCCATGATATCAAATTGTTGCCTGTCAAAATATTTATTCAGGTTCAAGGAGGATAAAAGGAATTGTAACCCCTCACTCAATGCTGAGGGGAAAACACAAAAACCCAGCAACCTCTCACTATTTTATATTTTCTGACCTAGTGCCAGCTCTGGACAGTCCCTTCCCTGTGCCACTGCAATGCCCACAACAAGAGCGACTTCTGGAAGGCCCAGAGGAACTTTGCCCTGGCTGGAATCCTGGCCACCTTCAACCTGGAGCTGCTGGAGCTGGACACGGAGCTGCGCCGTGGGGGTGGGTGCTGTGAGCCAGGGGCTGGGGCTGCTCAGGCCTGTCCTGGCTGCTCTGTCCCCTCATGGACCTGGGGCTGCTCAGGCCTGTCCTGGCTGCTCTGTCCCCTCA